TGCCACTCTTTCCTGGCCTGTAAGGTTTCCACTGAAAAGGCTCCTTCCAGATATATATTTTGTTTATATATCTTTATGCTTTATATATGGTTTCTTTTCTCCTGTTGCTCTTAGGATCCTTTCTTTATCCTTGACCTTAGGGAGTTTGATTATTAAATGCCTCTAGATTGTCTTCTTCTTTGGGGATTAAATTTACTTGGTATTATATAACCTTCTTGGACTTGGATATTGGTCTGTTTCTTTAGGTATGGGAAGTTCTCTGTTACAATCCCTTTGAATAGAGTTTCTACCCGTCTCATTCTCTGCCTCCTCTTTAAGGCCAATAACTCTTATTCTTTTTTTTCTTGTCTCTTCTGACTACATTTTCAAATAGCCTATCTTCAAGTTCACTAATTATTTCTTCTGCTTGATCAGCTCTGCTATTAAGTGAATCTGATGCATTCTTTGGTATGTCAATTGCATTTTTCAACTCCAGAATTTCTGCTAGGTTTAAAAAAAGTATTTTAATACCTTTTTAAATTTATGTTACAGAATTCTGAATTTCTTCTTTGTGCTATCCTACATTTCTTTGAGTTTCTTTAAAACAACTATTTTGAATTCTCTGTCTGAAAGGTCTCATATCTCTGTTTCTCTAGGATTGTCCCTGGGTGAATTATTTAGTTTGTTTGGTGAGATCATGTTTTCCTGGATGGTCTTGATGCTTATGAATGTCTGAGCTTTGAAGAGTCAAGTATTTCTTGTAGTCATCACAGTCTGGGCTTGTTTGTACCCATCCTTCTTGAGAAAGATTATCCATATCAAAAAGATATAGTGTTGTGATCTGTACTTTATCTTCATTTGGGGAAACACAAACCCAGTAACACTATGGTTCTTGTAGACTCATAGAGGTACCTCCTTGGCGGTCTTGAATAAGATCTAGAAGAATTCTCTGAATTACCGAAGACTCTTGTTCACTTCCTTTGCTTTCAAACAAATGGAGTCTCTCTCAGCTGAGTTCAACGCATTTTTGCTTGCTTTCCCAGTGACTGGGCAGCACTGACTTCCATGCAAAATCTCTCGGTCACTGTGTTTTCCCTCTTCTCCCTCTCCCAAGTTACAGTCTCTGTCCATGACACAGGGCTGCTGCCAGTGAATGGGGAAGGGGTGGCATCAGTGATTCAAGAATATCTTTCTTCCCCTTTCAGTGCATCTTTTAGTGATATGGTATTAAAGACAGGTACTATGAATGCCTACTTGATTTTTCAGTCTTATGAAGGCGCTTGTTTCATATAGTTGTTAAATTTGGTGATCCTGCAGGTGAGTCAATCGATGGAGCCTTCTCTTTAGCTATCTTAGTCTCACTTCTGAGATGCCATTATGACAATCTAAATAACAGAGAGGGAGACTCTAAAAGAAAATGATATTTATTCAGGAATAGACATTGCAATGGAAATACATTTACCATAGAAAACTATGTGTATATTCAGGAAAGTGAACAAAGACAAAGGTTTTTAAAGAAAAATTAGAAGGATTACATGATGTTTTCAGTTAATAATTTTTGACTACAAGGATCAATAACAAGAGTGGTGTCAGTGTTAGATCAGATAATCCAGCTGCTGGACAGGTGTCCTTGTAGAAGTATGTGTGTAAGGTTGTATTGACCTTTGTGCATGTCTGTGGCTCTTACAGGTTGTTTCATGATAGTTTTGTGATCAGGCATTCGTATAAGAGAGCCCATCCTGCATGACCTTACCTGGCTCCATTTTTCATGATTTTGCTTTTTAACATAAATGACTCCATTTTGATTCTGACAGCTTTTATGCTGCAAGCTCTTGCCATAATTCTTGTCCCACACAGGGGATTCCTTAATCAGTCCAGTCACTCAGTTGTTTTTCTTCTGACAAGATGGCTAGGCTATTGGCAATGGCCAATGAGTTGGTGAAAATATAGCAATATATGGTAGGAAAGGTGGCCGGCACGGCCATTGCCACTGCATGTAGTTTGGATAGAATTTCCATGTCCAGTCTCAGTCTAAAGTTGGCTGTCTGTTGGCCAGATGGTAAGGTGGCAGCCCAATGAACCCCATCTGTTTTTAGTTTGGCAGAACCATCAGTAAACCATGCCAGACCATTGGTAGGTTTATTTTTGAATCCATAGGAGGAGCCAAAACATCCTCAACAGGTTACTTGGTCACTTTTAATTAGCTAGCCATTTGTTCGTGAAACCTACTGGTCCCATGGGGCCTGGCTGGACATGATCTTAAATGGGCTAGTTTCATTTAATAATTGAGCTCTGTTGAGCCTAATTTGATTGGTGAAGTTTGCAAGCACACAAGTACGGATGGGCATTTCATGTTGTAGTGTCATGTGTGGTGCTCTGGCCATAAGATGCACAGTGTCGGCCGGGCGCGGTGGCTCAAGCCTGTGATCCCAGCACTTTGGGAGGCCGAGGCGGGTGGATCACGAGGTCAACAGATCGAGACCATCTTGGTCAACATGGTGAAACCCCGTCTCTACTAAAATTACAAAAAATTAGCTGGGCATGGTGGTGCGTGCCTGTAATCCCAGCTGCTTGGGAGGCTGAGGCAGGAGAATTGCCTGAACCCAGGAGGCGGAGATTGCGGTGAGCCGAGATCGAGCCATTGCACTCCAGCCTGGGTAACAAGAGCGAAACTCCGTCTCAAAAAAAAAAAAAAAAAAAAAAAAAAAGATGCACAGTGTCCAGAGACTAGTTCCTAGTAGCAAGCAAGGAGTTGCTGTTTAAAAGTGGTCTATCTGGGGGCTGCCTAAGCAGCTTATGTGTCCAAAATGTGAAAGGCTGGTACATCCTGGTAGTGAATTTTTTCTTCCCAGAGACTACTCTCAGCATGCATGAAGGTTTTGGACATCTGTAATTTTATTGAGCTAGCAGGCTCTAAGGGTTCTAAAAGCAGTGCCTGGACCACAACTTGCTGAGTGGCTTCCAAGGCCTGTTGTCGCAAAGAACCTCATTTAAAATTTGTGGGTTTGCCGGCAACCTTGACTAAGGAGAGCAAAAGGACATCTAGGTTGGGTACATGTGGTCTCCAGGACTCAAAGAGGCCCACCAGCTGCTGGCCTCATTTTTATTATAGGATGCCACAAGGGGCGACACTTGTTTGGCTATATCTGGGATACTTCTTTGGTGTTCAGCTTAAGTGGCCTTGGCATTTAGTTTGCAATAGTCCATTGTTAGTCTCCATGCCCTAGGGGGCCTTTTGTGACCAGTCAAATATTGTGAGAGGGTGGTTTATAACATTTATATCTGTATTAAGTCCTCAATTAACAAAGTAATATCCTATTCTCCATTCAGTATGTATAACAGTACTACTTGTGTTGAATAAGCCATTGGAACTTGGGGAGCTTAGGTAGCAGGCAGAAGTGGATATGCCCCACTGTTTTGGCTCAAATCCTTAGCTGTGTTGGGAGAACATACCCTTTCAGATGGAGGTGGCCTTCTGGTCCTTAAACAGCCAAAATACCCATTGCCGATGGTGCCCTGAGTGATAGGAAACATGGTTACTGGCACCTAAAATGGCCCAATGGGCCCCGCCCACAATGAGATAAGCATCTTGGGTCACTGTGTTTGTCTGAAAACCTCCCAATGTCATCAGTTTAATTTTTCACCTAAAAGAAACAGGAAATATTGTCATGTGGGTTTCAATATCTAAGAAGCCCAGAAAAGTCTGCATTTTCTTCTTTTTCTCTTTTTCTCTCGAGAAGAGTATTGGGCCAGTGACCTTCGGTAGGCACCTAGAGGCTTTGGCCCAACACTGACTGCACCATTTGGGTCTGCAGTGTCCCTTTATCCAACAAACACACCATCCAGGTTGCTTGAGAGTTTACTGCTCGTGTCCATGTGTGTCCTTTGGATCTTGAGTCTCCTTCTCTGTGAAGGCCTGCTTTGTGCATGCTGGTTCCTTCTCGGATGTCTCAAGGACCATCAGAGGACCTCTTTTTCATTCCCTCTCAGATGCCTCCAGATGCATCTGAATACCCAGGAAGGAGCAATCACATATGTGCACTAAACCCCCCTGTTTCCACACTTCTTTCCTGCTGCAATCCATGTACCAGCTCACCCACATTCTCAGGGCGTATGTGTGACCTATGTTTCTCTTATCACTGCTTCTTCCCCATAAAACATCTAGCTGGTCTGATGTCTCCATCATAGGCCAGATATGAGATAGGGCATTGCCCCTTCTACTTTACCAGTGAGCCATTGTTCTGTCAGATTGAATCCTGCTTGCTATGCCAATTTTGTGAAGCAGGTTGTCTCTGTGCACTGGTTATCAACTGACCGACTCCAGTGATACAGAATACGCTCATATACAAGTTACATGAAGTGGATTTATTACTATCAGATAGGCAGAAAGGGACAACACAAGTCTCAGATTTATTGCTGGCTGGTCCTCAAGGCTGAAGAGAGCTGTCTAGGGCAAACAGAATCTTATCTCTGAGTTCTTCACTTGTACCACAGCTAAGAGACCTCAGAAGCACCCATCCTGGATTTTATATCCTGATAACACATGACTCACTGCACTACAGCATTAAAGGACAGAGGGATGGAACAGAGCCTGGGCTGTTCTGGCCAGTCCCCCTTTCATCTAAAGATGTTCCATTCCTAGCACATTCTGCATATTTTGGATTATATCCTTGGCATTGTTAATGTTATTTTGCTTAGATTCTGTGTTCTGTTAAAACTCTCCCTGTGAACCACCTTCTTTAAGTTGACTCCCCTTCACAGTTTGCCTACTTGTGTTTAATTGTAGGAGCCCTCGGGTAGTTTCCTTTTGTCTTTTGTTCAATGTGTGTAGTAGAATCCTTGAGTGAGCAAGGCTGTAGTTGGCTTATTCTATCTTGTCTGTAAGTTCTTGTTTGTCATGTTCTCAAAAGTAAACAAAAAATACTTGTTGAAGAAATAAACTGCCTATTACCAATATCTTTTTGGATCTATGCTTGATGTTTTTTTGTTTCTTTTTCTTTCTTTTTTTTTTTTTTTGACAGTTTATCCAATGAATCCTTTTAGTGTCAACTTTGAAAATGTAAATGCCACAAACGCCATCATGACCTGGAAGGTGTACTCCGTGAAGAATAATTTCACATATTTGTGTCAGATTGAAGTCTATTGTGAAGGAAAAATGAAGCAAGTAAGAGCCGTGCTTAATTTATTTTCAAAAATTCCTTTTTGTCCTGAACAGAGACACTGGTGAATAGAATCCCTTTAAACTCTTATTTCTGTGTAGGTTCAACTGGTGTGGGTCATCTGTTTTAAAAAGTCCATGAAATTAATTTTAGATTTTTATGGTTAGGAAATGGGCCTTGGAGATATTTTTCCCCTCAAAAATGAACTGATCTTACTCCAGGTCAGGATTTGCTATGTCCTGGTTCATCTTTGTAACGGTATATACTCATCAATGCTTCTGTCTTTTTCTTTTCTCCTTTTTTCTTTCTTCTCTTTTTTGATCAAGCAATACAATGTTTCCATCAAGATGAATGGTGAGTACTTCTTAAGTGACCTGGAACCTTTCACAGAATATATGGCCCGAGTACGCTGTGCTGGTGCGAGCCACTTCTGGAAATGGAGTCAGTGGAGTGGTCAGAACTTCACCACACTTGAAGCCGGTATGTTTAGCCCCCCTGGCATTTAACCCAAAGCAGTAAGTCTTAGGAGTTAGGCTGGTTTCCCTGAGAGCTTTTGGTTATACCAATATCTAAGAGAAAAATATTTAAACAGAGGTGGGGTGGCATTTAAAAAATTAGATTAGATGCCTGATGAGAAGTGAGTGGGCGGCCGTCCACCTCAAACAGTTGACAGTAGTATTATTTATACTGCCTGTCTTCTCTCTTGTCTTTCATTTTTCCAAAATGGTTCACTTTGCTGATTTCAGAGTAGATCTAAGGCTATACAAATTAGTATGCACCTTTAATTCAGGACTGGGAGCAAATAGAAGTGTTAATGACAAGGAAAGCATTGGTCTCATACTAAATGACTTTGGGCTATGTTTGGAAATGTAATGATATTTGGAACCTTAATGGTTACTTGTGAGTCATTTGTTCCACTGATGGCATACTGTGTGCCCTCTCCAGCTTGTTCTGTGGCAAAGTTTCCTCAGCATTGATTGCAAGATTTTTCTGTTAAATAACTATGTCTCAGAACTCAAATGGGCCTCAGGAGATTCGATGGCCCAGTCCTGCTTCCATCTCCTACCAATTCAATGTAATGAAAGAAACTGTTGCCCATTTTACAGATGAGGCAACTTGCACCCATAACTGAAGAGATTTGCCCATATTGCAGTTACTGAATGCTACAGACATCATAATAATCATAGGAGTTAACATTTACTGAGAGTCACACATAACTCGAAGGGCCCTCTGTGTTTCTCTCTTTCCATCCTGACAACATGCAGTTAGGTATTCTTATTATCCTCATTTTATGCTGGAGGATATCAGAGCAGAGAAAGATTAAGTAATTTAACTGGCCCAGCCAGGCACTGACTGAGCTGCGACTCACGTCCAGGCAGCCTGACGCCAGATCTCCACCCTTAACCAGAGCTCATTCTGTGTGTTCTCTCTCTTGGTGTTATTACAACCTCCAGATCTTGTTGATTCAAGTCCTGGCTGTTTTACTGCCAAAGGAAGGATTATACATATATATTTTATTCATCTTATTTGTGTATGGCAGCTGGCAGAACTCTTTCTGTTTCATTCTGGGAGGACCATTTTAAAGCAGTGACTCTAATTTGAGGGTGGTGGGGGCAGCTAGTCAGAATCCATACATGAGGATGGTCATTAGTCAAGTTCTCCAGGCCTCCCCTTTCCCTGGTGGTGCCTGCCTATCCTCAAGCCCATTGAGACTCCAGTAATTTTTCCTAGGGCTACAGGTTCCTCAATAATCTTTGCTCTGGAAGGCCCTGTTCCTGAAAGGAATGTTGTGTTTTCCTCAGTTGTTTTAGAGAAGAAGTTTTATCATTTTGCTTCACTTTTTTGTTCGTTTTTTTAAAATGTATTCCAACATAACTAGAATTATATAAAAAGGGAAGATAGCAAAAGAATAGAGTTTCTTTTGGATTATAGTAGTAATCTAATATCTTGAAAACACTTAACTTTGCTTTTGATGATGACAAGAAAATGAGATGAACCTACTGAAGGTGAACTCGTAGGAATTTTTTATTATGTCTGATGTCACTTTGCTTAATGCCAGAAAACTCAATGTTTATGTGTGTTATAATCATGCTTAAGTATAATTATAGTGAGCAGACATCAAGTTAAATGATACGGTGGTAGAAACTATGTTGTTTATAGAATACAGTGCTATCAACTGTATTGTAGCACTTTTTTGTTACAAATAGTAATTTATAAGCCAGCTGAAGATTTTACATTGAACTTAGATATTGTGCTTGAGTATTTCAATAAAGTTTTACATTTAATATTGGCTTCTCCAATGGCTTATTTAGCAAATTGAAATTTGCTTCAATAGCCTTAAAAACATGCGGTCACCTTTAACTTAAGCATAAAGTGTTGTGACAGCAACTGAAAGAAAAAAAGGTTATAGTTAGGAAATGGGCTTTAGAGATTTTTCCCCACTTAAATGTCAATTATCAGGCAAAAAGACTATATTTTTATAAAATAGAGACATAAATTTTTATGTTCCAAAATAGTTCTTTCAAAGACGTGTTCTGAATTAGATCAAAAGTTACTTGTCCTCTCACAAACCAAAAACTAAAAAAAAGAAAAGCTATTTTTTAATATTTGAAACATCTTAATTTTGTTAATTTCATGACAGTTGCTATTTAACACTTTCACACTTAACAGTCAAGATTTTTAAACAAATTTTGTATGCAGAAATCATATTTTAAAAATAGTAGTTGGAAGTCCTAGTCAGAGGAATCAGGCAAGAGAAACACATCCCAAAAGGAAAAGAAGTCAAACTCTTTGTCTTTTTTGACAATGTGATTCTATACCTAGAAACCCTAGATTAAGCGTGGACAGAGGGAGAACACAGATGCTGGGCTAAAGGGTCAGGAAGCTGCACACCCTGCAAGGGGCTACCAAGCACTCACACTCGTTCTTGGCCTCCAGCAGCTCCTGGGGAAGGGCTTGTACAGGCTCTCTGCTGCTGCCATGGGCCTTTGTAATCCAGGCAGCAGGAAACCTCACAACCCTCATGGACAATTGGGCTGGCAGGAAGAACTTCTTAGAGAGATAGTAGGAACAGGGCTCCATCTTGGGCAGAGCCCAGAGGGTTTGGTGCAGAAACATCTGCAGTGGAGCATGGCCAGGGATGCAAAGCCCCCAAGCCTTGCTGTGCTCCTCTAGGAGACCTTGGCCATAAGGTGACTGTCAGACCTAGACAGGGGACAGTGGTCTTACCCATGAGCTGGGGCCAGTCCAATATGAGTAGTCCCCTGTCTGCTGGCCTCTCCTGAGGCTCCAGCCTAGCCACACTAGCTGGCAGTGCAGCCTCAGATGCCCAACCAGGGTGCTTCCTGGGGGATCTCATCATAGCTGCTTTGCTGGCAGATGGCACCTGATCATTGGAGAGTTCCAGCAGGGCAACCCCTACTGACATGCCTCAGCCTACCTGCAACCTTCCCCAACCAGAGCCTCCCCAGTGCCACTTTGCCAGCCTGCACTTGCCCATGGCCACCCCACTACCACTTTGCCAGTGCACACCTATGGGTGGACCTTGCCTCTTCTCCCCCTGTGGCTCATGTGTGTGCACATATCCCACTTCTGCTGCTGGCATAAGCACAGCATGTGGCCCTGCCACTCCTCGCTGCTGCCATTCCTGGTGTGAAAGAGTACATGGCCACCAGCGGCCCCACCCCCACTCCCGACACTGCCACCAGTGTCAGTGTGTGCACAGCCCTGTGCCCCCCACGACACCATCACTGGCACAAATGCATGAAGAGACACCAGAAACTCTGCCCCCACCCCAGTGCTATCACTGCAGCTGCTGCAAACCAGCACACAGACAACAGCAGCCCTGCCTTCCCAGTGCCACCATGACTGCCGGTGTGAATGCATGCATGGATGCTGGCAACTCTGCTGACTCTCTACACTACCACTGCTGCCTGTGCAAACTATGCACAAAGACTGGTAGCCTCCTGCTCCCACCAGTGCCAGCACCAGGGCGGGCACTGTCATTGGCACTTCTGCCCCTGCCTGCATCCCACTGCTAGGGCAAGTGCATACAGGAACCTTGCAGCCCTACTCTCACAGGTACCCCACCCCAGCTGATGCATGTACAAACCACTGCACTGCCATGGCTGCTGACACATGTGAGTGAGCATGGATCTTGCTGCCACTGCCCTGATGAAGTGCTTTGGCCTGCACCACTCATCAGAGTTTTGTGGCCAACAGACTGGGAATACTTCAGCCCCTCCAAAACAGTAGGTTCCTAGCCTTGAGGGGCCAGAGAACAAAGGTGGGGGCTGATAGCAGTCCTGCCGAGTTAGAGCATGCAGACCAGGAGTGCTAAACTGACTCTTGGCCTCTTAAAATCTTCCAGATAGGAACCCAGGCAACTGAACTCACTTTATACCAAAATCAGATGTCCCCTAGGACATCAAAGAACAAAACAATAACCCATCCAACAACTTCAAAGACTAAAGGAACATCAGCCCACAAGTTGAGAAAGAAACAATGCAAGAACTCTGGCAACTCAAAAAGCTAGAGTGTCTCCTTACTTCCAGAGACCACACTGACATCCCAGCAATGGTTCTTAACCTGTTCAAAATGACAGAATTAGAATTCAGAATATAGATGAACAAAGATCATCCACATCCAAGAGAAAGTCAAAACCCAGTCCAAGAAATCTAAGGAATACAACAAAATGACACAGGAGATAAAAGATGAAATGGCCATTTAAAGAAAGAATAAAACTGATCTGATAGAGCTGAATAATTCATTTCAAGAACTTCATAATACAAATGCAAGCTGAAGAAAGGGTCTCAGAGCTCAAAGACCAGTTCTTCAAAATAACTCAGTCAGACAAAAATAAAGAAAAATCAGTAAAGAATTATTATGTAAAGAGGACAGATCAGCCACTCATTGGTGTTCTTGAAAGAGAGGGAGAGAAGGCAAGCAACTTGGAAAACATATTTGAGGATATTATTCACAAAAATTTTCCCAACCTCACTGGAGAGGACAACATTCAAATTCAGGAAATGCAGGGAACCCCTATGAGATACTATACAAGAAGATGACCATCCCCAAGATACCATGTCCCCAAGACATAGTCATCAGATTCTTCAAGGTCAAAATGAAAGAAAAAATATTATAGGGAGCTAGGGCAGGTCACCTACAAAGGTTACCCTCTCAGGCTAACAGTAGACCTTTCATCAGAAACCCTACAAGCCAAAAGAGATTGGGGGCCTATATTTAGCATTCTTAAAAGAAATATTGCCGGGTGCAGTGGCTCATGCCTGTAACCGCAGCACTTTGGGAGGCCGAGGCAGGTGGATCACGAGGTCAAGATCGAGACCATCCTGGTCAACATGGTGAGACCCCGTCTCTATTAAAAATACAAAAAATTAGCTGGGCATGGTGGTGCATGCCTGTAATCCCAGCTACTCAGGAGACTGAGGCAGGAGAATTGCCTGAACCCAGGAGGCGGAGGT